CACCCGGAAACCCTAGCTGCCCCCCCCCCCCCCCCCCCCCTCCCCCACCGGCGCACCGTCCTCACCCCCCCCCCCCCCCCCACCCCCCCGCCCGCAGCATGCCCAAAATCAAGAGGCCGAGTTAGCAAACTCGGCAAGTAGATTTTGAGGCCTCTTATGATGATCGTACATGACGAAAGTGCTGTAAATACCGAGTAAAACGGACGTGCTCTTAAGATGGTTTTAAGCCAGTGTAGTTGGTAGGGGTGGCGCCTACTACTACTACTACTACTACTACTACTACTACTAGTACTACGACTGCTACTGCAGCTGCTACTGCGACTCCTACTACTACTACTACTACTACTACTACTACTGCTGCTACTTCTAGGCTAGCGCCCTGTGGTGCCTCGGCGTTTTATGACGCCTTTTGTGTTCGTTTTGCTGCGGGTGCTGCGTGCGGCTGCATGCACCCGTACGTACAGCTACTTCTTTCTGCTGCTTCCACAAGTGTTGTAGCTGTCGTTCCAAGCATTACCTTGCTCTCATCGTCGTATGTACGATGACTTCTGTCCCAGAATGTGGGGCTGGCTGGAGTCGGCTTTGGGTTTCAGGTTTTGACGCCTATGTTGTGACACCTAGGTGTCTGGTGTAGTTTCGAAACGGGTGAAAATAGCAGGATTTTGGGGAACTACTTGCGTGCTGCTTGTTGGACTAGTGCGACTATGACTGCGGTTAGGACAACGATGGCGACAACGACGACGACAAAGACCACGAAAGTCCGAAACGCGCCCCCATCCGGAACCCTACGAGCCTGTAAGATCTTTCCTCCGTTCCGCTGTCGTTTTCACCGCTCCAGTGATTTCAGCACGGCTTTCAAGCTGCTACTGCTACTCCTACTCCTACCACTACCACGACGACGATTACTACTAGTACTACTCGTGCTGCTGCTACTACTACGACGACGACATCCTCTACCATGTTGCTGCGACAGATACCGCAACCAGCTACAGAATCAGACTGCGATACACAAAGGATAACATGAGGTGGCCGAAGCACAGCCGCCCCTACTCATGGCGCAGTCAGTGAGGACCGGGAGTTGCGGCAGTCGATGTCCACTCGTCGAGTATGTGGGAGCCCGGGTTACCTTGATCCGGACAGCCTTCGTGGCGGAGGATCCACCAAGGAGCGCGAGTGCAGATTCGCTGGGCAGGGTTAGGACACCAGTAGCTGTATCAAGGACAAGGATCCAGGGTCGGGTCTCCATCCCCTGAATTCAGAGGAGTCTGACATTTTTTCCTTCGCCGTCGTGCTTCTAGACCTGATGATCGGCACCGGATGCGGAGAGGAGGCCGACCATTACCGAAGCGCACGGCGAAACCAGGTGGTCTTCCATGAAGCTTGGGGCAGCGCACCGGAGCAAACCAAGACTGCTCTCCTGCGATTGGTGATGCAGTGCATTCAGGAATTTAGGGAAGATCGACCAGCTATAGCAGCAGTGCAACAGAATCTAAGCCAGCTGAGCTCGACAGCGTGAATCATGTTTTTTTGTGCCGGAGCTGTGGAGAAAGGGTCAGAAGCGCCCCTTTGCTGATGCACGCTCCATGCAGCCTGTGGCAGCTTTGAATTCTGTGAGGCCGCTGCATAACCGCAGGCAGCACTTTCCAGTGTGGAATACATGACAGTAAAGGCTTTTGAGCTCTTCGTTGAGGTGAGTCTGAGGTGGAGGGATGGCGAGAATCTCCGCAATTGGTTTCGGAGCCGAACATTTGGCATTGGATTGGGTGTTTGCAGGGGACAGTTAGCACTGTTGGAGCAAAATCGAGTTCACCTCAGGCATCAGACCGACTTTCAAACACGATCGGTTCTTGTACGTTCTGTTACCCTGTTCCTAATGCCTGCTGCAATCTCTGTCAGAATGCAGAATGCTTACCAATACTTTTGGGGTTCCTTATGAATATTAGTAACGTACCCATGCGAGAGGTTAAAAAAACAAGGCCGCTACAGTGACAGCTCCTGGTTTTGCGATTTGTTGCCATGGCCGCCCTCAGAACTGCGGCTGTCCTGAAAGCAAAAACCTAGGGTTTGCCTCTGTGGTCCCAAAAACCTACCTTTTCAGATTTATAGAAACCACCACTTTGAACCCGGTTTAGGGAGTAGGGATTCTGTCTGATACTTGGGAAGTGCTGGCGGTAATAGCTTTTAGTCTGAGTCGTTTCACTCACGGGGGCACTTAGTCTCCGGGTTCTGTTTGAGGACTCCCCGGCGAAGCTCGCTGCTTCGTGATCCGTGGGGGTCTTTTGAACATCGGAACCCACCCCTAAACATTTAAACATTTAGACGAAAGGCTGCTGGCCCTAAACCCTATAAACCCTAAACGCACAAATCGAGAAGTGTATCCTTAAACCCTAAACCCTAAAAAGCCTGAAGCCAGCCTTTCGGTGGCCAGGGCCCCCCGCAGCTCTTCGGACGCCAGAGTTCCGCTGTACCCTAGGTTTAGGGTTTGGGGTTTAGGGTTTAGGGTTTAGGCCTCAGGTTTAAAACACGACCTGCATCGCTCGGCGTCGAAAGGGTGTGCGCGTCTCATGTGGGGGATCCGAAATTATGAAACCTCAAGCTTCCAAGCTCTACCTGCTGAGCCACTTTTTCTCAGACGGTGTTTCGAGTGGCTGGTGGATGGGCTAGGCCTTGCCGGGTCATGCTGCCATCTGGTTGACCTGAATCTCCGGCTGCGTCTAATATCAAACCCCACCAAACTAGGCAGTGGTCGCCCCCAAGACTCGGTTGTCTGCATCCTCCCATATCAACTTCACGGATCTTAGCTAGCCTTCCAAGACCACGACGATGTGATTACAACTGCAACTAGGCTTCCCGTCTACGGCGACAACTGTAATGACACTGGTTTTCCTTAGGGCTCCCCATGAGAATCATAGCAACATGTACAACAAAACTTAATTCCAAATATTCAGCTTTTCAGGCCCCTTATTCAGCTGTTGAGTTTCGGAAGGGGCAATATAGGGGCTTAAATAGCTACCAATGTATTCATTACGGGTTCCACATACCCCAGAACCGTGTTCTAATTATTTAAGGCCCCAAAGGCGCCCGACAAAGTATGTATTTGAGGCACTCCAGCTCAAAGGTTGCAGTATTGGCATTATTATGTTCCGTGTAGTTGCTGGAAGGGGATTTCAGAGTTAGACTAATTTGGCGTTTATTTTCCGTGTAGTCCTTCAGAAGGGGGTTTCAGAGTTAGGTGTTCCGTGTAGTCATGAGAAGTGGATTTCAGAGTTGGACAAGGGTTTTGGTATACGTTTCCATGTCGTCAAAAGCAGGGGATTTCAGAGTTAGAATACAGCTTGGGGACATAGTCCCCTATAATTATAAAACGGAGCCCTGAGGAATAGCATTGGTACTCATTCAGGCTCGGATCTTAGCTTCTCTTGGGTGCCCTGCACATCGCACGCACTTGGCTTGACCCGTGGTTGATTGGACATGGTACTTGGAGGTTCATGGGTAGTTATAAGCGGGGTCATAAGTAGGGTAACTATACTTATAACCTATATTAGGGGACTTATAACCCCACTTATAACTAATTACCCATGAACCTCCAAGTAGGTCATGGTGGCAGCCCAGCAGGGGTCAGTTGAGCACAGAGCGACAGTATCGGTTGCAAGGACGAGAAACCGGGATTGCCGACCGGCTGAGTTTTAGGATCAAGGGCTAAAGGCTGGGGCCAGGGTTTGTTTGTCTGAAGAAGCTGGATCTCGGGTCGCGGCATTTTTGCATGATTCTGGGAGCACGCTACGCGGAACTGACGGAGTGTAGAACTGCGGCATGTTGGTTGGCATACAGGCTGATTGATTCCTTAAACATACAGTCAAGGTGGACTGTATCGTCGCCGAAGCATCTTCAGTCTGCTGTCGCAGTGCAGGAAGAATTTTATGCAAAGCACTATGACATGGGTCCTTTGCAGTGTTTTCTTTGGGAACCCTAAACCCGAAACCACTTAACTCCTAAAATCCTAAGCCCAAACCTTGAAATCGTAAACCCCCAAAGCCGAAACCCTAAGCCAAAAAGACAACAGCCTTGGAGTGTTCGAAGCTGGTGTGGGGTTTCGCTACAGTAGTTATTCCAACTCCTAGGTTCTACTCCCAGATTCGCGGAAACCAAGCTGCATGTGACAGCGCGTCTCTGGCTGTCACGGCGAGAACACATATAGTTTGAGATGGTGTCGGCTTGTTTGTCATAAGAGGATGCCGCTGATGATCGCTAACTCCGTCGAACCAGGCTCCAGCCATTCAAGCATGAAGCCAGTCATGGGTTTTAGGTTTAGAAAGCTACCAATCAAACCTTGGGATTGACGGCTGCAGCCTCGTCCACTCTCGACGTACGTGGCTTGGCTCAAGCTCTCCCAACGGAGATCCAACAAACCAGGATTGAAAACCTACATCCCCAAGTCCCCAAGCTCAGCCACGACTCGGTATGCTCCCAGGAGTAGCCAGAACGTCGACAGCTCACATCTCTACCAAGCCCCATACGAAAGAAGTTGGCCTGTCGGATACAAGCCATGAAGAGCGAAGAGAAAACAGCGGATTGCTGCCGCGGGGCGAAATCCTCGAGTGTGGATGCCAGCCACGCCAGACACCTGGCACTTCAGACTAACCCTGAGGCTCCTAGTCCAAGTAGACGACGAATAGACCTACATTGTGGGTTCAAGTGTCTCCGCGCGGATAGCTGACATCCCAGGCCCATTGCCATTCGGTCATTCGCTGGGTCAGGAGCAAAGATGTTCGGCCAGCACAGCGACGTACGGCTGCGTGATGCACGCATGCATTCAATGCGGCAACCTCCCGAAGGCCGCGGAGGTCTTCAGAGGCTATCCCAAACGTCGGTGAGTGTGGTCTTGCTCCGGCGCTTTGTGTGTTCGACGACATGAAATTGCGACGCCTTCCCTACGACGAGAGCTTGTACAACATCCTTTTGGAAGGCCCCTTCAATTGCCGCGGTTGGCGGCCTTGGCCATGTAGTAAAGCTGACGTGTGCTGGGCTGGTCTCGTGAAGGCTGCGCGATTGCAGGCGACTGGAAAGCAGGCCGCCTTGTGACATGCTTGTTGGGCACCAGTGCCATGCATTCTAGACAGCTGCAGAGCACGAGACCCCATCCGGATGTCCGAATCTGCTGGAGACAGTCCTTCCTCCGCTTTGACTATCTACACCGTTGACTGTCCATGCGGTGGCAAGAAGGGATGTCGATCGTAGCTGAAAGTGCTTGTCAAAGGCCTCGGCCTCTTCGCAGAGATGACGTCCTCGGGACGGCGACCTTCTGCGATCACCACCATCATTCTCGCGAGGTGCGTGTTTCGGATGGAGAGCGATCTAGCCGTGAGCCTCACGAATCCAAGGCTCAGCAGGGAAGACCTAGCCCGGTTGAAAACAGAAAACAACGCAAGTATCGCCCCGAGCCTTATAGCATGTTACAGCTTAACACACTCATCGTATGGTACTATGGGGAGGAAGGGTAGATTATGGATGATGTCGCGTTTACGACTGAGGTTCATAAATAGCAGCTGGGTTAGCGAGTATCAACAAGATTCCTACTGCAGGTGGACAAGAGCTCAAGAACTTATCGGTGGTGGTTACAAAGGCCCCTCCGGGGCTATCTGTTGACGGTAGTTCTCGGTTTACGTAGTGAGTGTTGATTGGATGGTTCTGCGGTTGCTACCAAGGTTCATATAGCAGCTAGTCGTGAGCGATGCGGGGCCTGCCAACAAGGCGTTTATACCATTTCGATAAGGGTTTACGGATGTACATACTTCGCTAACAACGAATTTACCATGGGGGTCAGATGGGGTCAGTATTGGGTTGGTAAGCGCTAAGTGCAGCGTTGCGGTGCTGTGGGTGACATTTCAAGCTAACGTTCAGGTCAGGGTGGCACAACGTTGAGGTTCATTTCAAGGTGATTAGCCACTTTTCTGGGGACCTGACGTACAACGACGAGGAGCAGGGCGAATATGAACACCCATGCTAGTCACTAGTCTCACATCTGTTGTTTGGGGCTTCGTAGTACTGATCATCTCAAGCCATATTCCTTAGACTTCAGCAAGTAGCATATGGAACAGATGATGCATGAAGGTACATGTGTCGCCGTAGTTATTTCGCTATTCATCTCGACTAGCACTGTCTTCATGACCTGTATCACCTTCACCGTGTCTCTATTAGTCTCCACTCGAATCGTCGGCATGATGAAGGGTTTGCTGGATATTCCGCTGGTCTTGCGGGTAAATCCAGCTTCAAGATATTTTCTGAGGGGTGGCATATGACTAGCATATGTATGTATGTCTATATCTATACCTATACGGATATCTGTCTCCAGATCTAAATCAAGATCTAAATCGAAGTAAATCTAAATATATCTATGTCATAGTCTGTTTCTTTCTCCATATCTTTATGTATATCTGTATCTTTATCTGTATATGGATTTAGTTCTGTATCTGTCTCTACGACCAATATAGCATGTTATAGACGGAGCCCTAAGGAATAGCATTGGTACTGATTCAGGCTCTGATGTTAGCTTCTCTTGGGTGCCCTGCACATCGCACGCACTTGGCTTGACCCGTGGTTGATTGGACATGGTACTTGGAGAATCATGGGTAGTTATAAGTGGGGTCATAAGTAGGGTAACTATACTTATAACCTATATTAGGGATTATTAGGGACTTATATCCCCACTTATAACTAATTAGGGACTTATAACCCCACTTATAACTAATTACCCATGAACCTCCAAGTAGGTCATGGTGGCAGCCCAGCAGGGGTCAGTTGAGCACAGAGCGACAGTATCGGTTGCAAGGACGAGAAACCGGGATTGCCGACCGGCTGAGTTTTAGGATCAAGGGCTAAAGGCTGGGGCCAGGGTTTGTTTGTCTGAAGAAGCTGGATCTCGCGTCGCGGCATTTTTGCATGAAACTGGGAGCACGCTACGCGGAACTGACGGAGTGTAGAACTGCGGCATGTTGGTTGGCATACAGGCTGATTGATTCCTTGAACATACAGTCAAGGTGGACTGTATCGTCGCCGAAGCATCTTCAGTCTGCTGTCGCAGTGCAGGAAGAATTTTATGCAAAGCACCATGACATGGGTCCTTTGCAGTGTTTTCTTTGGGAACCCTAAACCCGAAACCACTTAACTCCTAAAATCCTAAGCCCAAACCTTGAAATCGTAAACCCCCAAAGCCGAAACCCTACGCCAAAAAGACAACAGCCTTGGAGTGTTCGAAGCTGGTGTGGGGTTTCGCCACAGTAGTTATTCCAACTCCTAGGTTCTACTCCCAGATTCGCGGAAACCAAGCTGCATGTGACAGCGCGTCTCTGGCTGTCACGGCGAGAACACATATAGTTTGAGATTTGAGATGTAGTCAGCTTGTTTGTCATACGATGATGCCGCCGATGATCGCTAACTCCGTCGAACCAGGCTCCAGCCATTCAAGCATGAAGCCAGTCATGGGCTTTAGGTTTAGAAAGCTACCAATCAAACCTTGGGATTGACGGCTGCAGCCTCGTCCGCTCTCGACGTACGTGGCTTGGCTCAAGCTCTCCCAACGGAGATCCAACAAACCAGGATTGAAAACCTCCATCCCCAAGTCCCCAAGCTCAGCCACGACTCGGTATGCTCCCAGGAGTAGCCAGAACGTCGACAGCTCACATCTCTACCAAGCCCCATACGAAAGAAGTTGGCCTGTCGGATACAAGCCATGAAGAGCGAAGAGAAAACAGCGGATTGCTGCCGCGGGGCGAAATCCTCGAGTGTGGATGCCAGCCACGCCAGACACCTGGCACTTCAGACTAACCCTGAGGCCCCTAGTCCAAGTAGACGACGAATAGACCTACATTGTGGGTTCAAGTGTCTCCGCGTGGATAGTACAGATATAGACATGGACATCGATACAGAGACAGAGAGATAGATAAAGATAGACGTTCTTGTACATTCTTCGGATCATTGGAAGACCAGGGTAACGCCCACATGATCAGGCAGCTTTGAGCCTTTAGGTCTTTGGTGAGAAACTAAGGACAGTTGCCATAAACCTTATAAGCCCTAAACCCTAACCCTTTGTGGTTGGCTTGTTAGGGCACTGTGGGCCGTTAAGCCAAAAAAGATTGAAACCCAAACTTAAAGCAACAACTATAAACCCTAAACCCTAAGCAAAAAAAACTCAATCCTAAAACCTCGAAAACAACCTAGACCCCTAACCAAAAGCAAACCGAAACCCTCAACTTAAAACAACCCTAAACCCTAAACCCCCGAAAAACCCTAAACCCCAAGTCCTTAAATCCCAAACCCTAAACCTCGAACCCCCCAAAAAAAGCATATATACATATATATATATATATATCCCTAGATCCTAAACCTTCCTTACCAACCGTCGAAGTGTTTGTTCTTTCCCCCCCCCCCCAGCTCCCAACCTGCAGACCCCCACAAGCCTAAAAAGAGAATGCTTAGTAGTATAGTTATAGTCTATAGTACACTTCTAGTTTAGGGTTTAGGGGCCTAGGGTTTATGATAGTAGCCTAGCATCAGAACAGTAGTAGTATCGCACAATTATGGTTTAAGAGCCAAGCCCCCGAATCCCAGTCCCCCGAACCCTGAACCGGGAACCCTAAGCCCTGAACCCCGTGACATAGACGCCTCGCCAACATGATTTCTTCGGGCTCCCTATCGTAACTGATTGTCGCACTCATATACCACGAGAAGGGTAGTTCTCTAAATTCGGGTCCCTTGTAGTGTCCTTTTTATAAGGGTGCCGTACTATATGGGGGACCCAAAAAGGGCCCCTAATTTAGAACACCACCCAGAAACTACTCTGATTAATAAGGCCCCATAGGCCCCCAGAGTATCGCCTAAACCCTAAACCCTAAACCCTAAACCATTACCCTGCAATGCGGGCTCGTCCTTGCTAAGAAGGAGGCAAAAAAACCCTAAACTCGAAACCCTAAAGCAAAAGCTTCAAAGCAGTCCAGGAGCCTCCTTAACCGGCGTCGACTCGCAGAAAACCCAGCAAGTCGCCTCAGCCCGGATTTGGAGAAGACTGATTCCCTGCATCTTCGTGGCTTTCCAGGCTGACTCATGACTAGACCCCAGTCGCATGATGAGGGCCCTATTATATTGCCTAACTTCGAATCTTAAGCCCGAAGTACTCAAACAAGGCATGTTCTTTTCGTTGTGGTTTTCGGTTTTTGGTATTGGGTTCTGGTGGTTCTTGTTTGGGGATGCAAGCCACGCCGCCGCAGCCTCAGCAGGCGCGAGTCGAAGCCCTTGCATAGAAGCTGAAAGGCACTCACGGCCTTATTCCGTACGGTTTGACGCTCCATTATTCAAATATGAGTATATACTGAAATAATGACTGTTGTTATTATTATTGTAATAATAATAACAATAATAATGATAGTATTAGCAATAGTAATAGTAATACTACCGTGGGTTGCATGGGTTTGGGTTTACCTCCCGAAGGTGGCCTTGATGGTGATTCCTTCGACACGGATGGATGAGTGTACAGCATCCTCAACAGCTATCCTGCCCGCTGCTGGGTTCTTATCAAGGAACTCGCAAATGTTATAGGTTATTCGTAGTGTTATAGTTCTTAATGATTATCATTGCTATTGCCTTTTTTTATTTCTATTATCACGACTTCTATTTCTAATACCATGATTCTTATTAATACCCTTATCGTTGTTACTGCTGTCATTGTTTAACATTGCTATTGTCACTCATGTCATATGTGTTTTTTGGTTTCATATATGAACTAACTCTTAATCCGGAGATCCTCGGCCGGACGGAGGCTGCCGACCTCTACATCGCATATCAGGTCTTGGCGGCAGGGCATCTTTGCATGGTCTTCTTCCTGCGCGTCTTCTGGCGGAATATCGACCGCTCCTCCGAGATGGTCTGGTCCTTGCACGTCTACCTCATGACCCTGGGCTCTTGTTGCGGCACTTAGGTTACTATCATGGGGATCTATAGTAAATAACGTGGCTTCCTTACTGTGGTAATTTAAGTTACAAGGAGTGTAATTTGAGTTACTATAGTAGAGATCTATAGTAAATAGTGTGGCTTCCTGATTATGGTAACTTAAAGGAAAGTTTTGAACAAGAACCCAGGATCGGCTGGGCATACTGGCTGCTAGGTGCGACCCATGAGCTGACCAAATGGTGCCTTGGCTTTTCGGCATAATCCCTGCTCCTCCAGTAAACCCCACAATTCAAGACCTATAAGGTCCCCAGAACCCTAGAGTCCGCACACCACAAACCAACAACCCTTAACCCTAAATCGGGTCAGACAGACAACCCGTCGACGTTAACCAACATGCAAAGCACAGAAAGCAAACCATCTACTGTTTCCGCAACCTGAATGTACCATAAAGGCCCCCAACTCTGAACCCTGACCACTCAAACCCAAACCCCAAACTGCCATAAACCCTGAGTCCTAACAGCATCTTCCGCCTGGAACGCCGTGTCAAGGTGCAGCATGCCGAGCTACACCCAGTCAGTTGCTTTAACTCTGCATCGCTTGAACCTCGGTTCAAAAAGGCCAGAATCAGAAGCCACTACCTTACTTCTACGTATGTGCTGCTTGGGGGTCCTGTTTAGCTTCGTACCGCTTGGGACCTCAGCTTTCTTCGGTGTAGAATTAGAGGGTGTGGGGTTGTGGGGCTTGAACTTTCGGGAAAGTCAGGGTTCAAGATGCAGTTAAAGAAGGTTTACGAGGGGAGCACCGCATTTCTGCTGACTTTATGGCAAGTTGTTTACATCAGACGAGTCTCTTCTTGAGTACCCCAACCCTGAGCCCTGAACTGTAACCCCTTCAAAAATCCAGAAGCCCAGCCCTGTTTTGCTACTTCTAACTTTAGCTCCGTTTCTTCATGCGTCTTGCCGCTCACCGTGAGTCGTCTTGGTCTGAAACAGCTGATACTCAGATACCCTAAACCCTAAACCCTGTCCCTCGGTTTCGGAGATGTCTGCCTTCTGCGAGAGTCGAAAACCAAAACCCCAAATCCTGAAGCCTACACCCTGAAACCGACCCGTAACCCAAATCCGGAACCCCTGACTAAACCCGAACCCCCAAACCTCTACACCCGAACCCCTAAACCCGAAACCCGAGCCCCCAAACCGTAAGGAATTGCGCTTGCCTAGAGCTCGCGTTCACCTACTCGATCCAGCAGCCGGGCTTCAATCTGAAAAATGTGGAGTTTACGGAGCTCAAAACTGAGTTTAGGGTTTAGTGTTTTGAAGGTTATTATATGGGTTCTATAAGGGTCCTTTACCATACTTGAAGTGTATTTTATCGGGCCTGTTCCTTCAAGGAACCATGATAAAATAGAGTCCATACTTTTTCACACCGGTTATTTCATAGTCCACAAAATGTCCATCATCGACAGATGTGTTCAAAGGCTTAGGGCCTGGGGCTTGGAATGTAGGGTTTAGAGATTGGGCTTTGGGGTTTGGGGTGTTGTGTGGAGGGTTTCGACTCCATTTAAATTAAGCGCTAGTAATGGTCTTTTTCTGTACATGAGTCATATTACCTTCGTCTTTCTACACATCATATTAGTGTCCCTTTCATAAATTTGACGGCTTGACACCTAACTCTTGCCCGTGGGACAAGCCAGGAAACGCCTCAAGGTTACAGAGCGGGGCATTGGTGTGGAGCTGGGTGCGAAGCAAGTCCGGCAGATTCGTTGCCTGGCTTTGCTGTTTGGTTTTTGGGTTTGGGGGTTTTATTAAAGCTCCAGTCGGCGACGGACAGGGCAGAAGCAAGGATTTAGGGCGAAGCCGATGAACACCCAAAAACTTCGGTGTCATTCCTTCCCGAACAAGTGTGTCACAATGTTTTTCTCCATCTTCTCCCTTAGCCCTGGCCTTAAATAAAACCATAACCCCTGAACGGCTGCCTTGAGGATGGAGCTTCTTTGTCCTTCAGATCGCTGTGGATTTCGTGCGCATCTACGGGCAGACCCAGACGACCCTGGTGATTCAAGTTTTGTCTTCTGTCTATCATATTGTGGCCGGAGTGGGCGATTCTTGGCAACGAGATTCATCGCTTCACTCTACATATTGTAGTTTGGGCGGGGGTCCCTCATTATAGTTATAGTACAATGGGCCCCAAAACCCTCTTCTAGTTATTAATTACCCTACATTACCCACAAAGCCTGAGTCCAGTTAATTGCGCTGAGCAATGTGTCCAAAACTTTGGCAAGCCCTAGAAAACTTCGCGTCCTTTCACAAAAGCCGTTAAGCGAACCTGTGACCCCAACACGACTAACTACCACCGCAGAAGCCCAATGATACTGCACAACAGCCGCTTGTAAAACCAAGGGCCCTTCTTGGTGTATGCCTGAGGTTCTGATGACTCTGGTCGTGGCGGTGCGAGCCTTCCGTCGGGTGAAACGAGCCCTGAAGGTGGTGTCTCAAAAACCTCCTTCAAGGGTTCCGGTACAGGTGCTATAGGGCTTAGAGTTCCTTTAAGGGGCATGTCATCGTGGGATTCTGAGGTTAGCTCTTTACCTCTGAGTCCGCGAGAGAGAGCGAGAGAGATCTAAAGAGGCATTCCGACTTGAACCGTGCCTCCCGCCACAGTCCCGTCTTCAAATCGCTCGAAGTCGCTAAATCATAGCGGGGCCACGTTGCTCGCCTCCTCGGGCTTCGTGTGGTCTCGAATCCAGCTGTTCTGAAGGGGTTAGGACTTTGGCGAACATCGAAATTCTGCTCCCGTTCCCAACACGGTCCCGTACGTGTCCGCCTCTTGAAATCGTGTTCCGCCAACAGCACTGAGTGCGTTTTGGTTGCGACTCGTGCTTGCACCTCTCTGCACGGTGCTGCAATCCGGGTTTCGTGTTCCGGGGCAGGGGGTGCGTGGTCTGGGGTGCTTCTGCCACAATGTGGTGAGCATTTTGGACCTGTCTGGGTGGTTTTGGAAGATCTGGGAGATGGTCGTATATTACATATTACATGTTATATGCGAAGCTCCGGGGTGCAGCAAGACTGACTCTTTGGCCAATGTTTTTGCATACGCAGGGCTTCGCCCGCGAGGCACTACTACTACGTAGTTGTTTATGTTTGGCATCTACTGATGTTGAATCATAGTATATCATAAACTGGCACTGCGAGGCGTTTATTGGCTGTCTGGGGCTCGCATAATATTTGGGTTTTTGAGTATGGGCTTAGGCTTGAGATTTGAGGCTTAGAGTTATAGTTACAGGTTTCGGGTAAGCACTTAAGCCCTGAATTGCTGGGAGTCTTGGTTAGACATGGCGAACTAGGAGATGTGACTGATTCGAGTTGGAGGTTTTGGCAAGATGCCCCCGACGCCCTCCCGTACAGGGGCCTATCTTAGATACAAACAGTTGCGAATATTCCTCACTATCCTTATTACATTGATACGATGATACTTGCCCAAGCCCTCGTAGAGTAAGGCCGCCATATTACCCTTTCAACTTTGAGATCTTTTGGGATCCGTGATCTTAAGCCCTGGCGTAGTCTACCGCGTGCGCTCTGTGTTGAAGTCCGTCATATTTTAAAGGCCCTGCAGAAAAGAAGTTCGTGTATGTTTGGGGTACACCCTAAACCCCAGTCTCCTGCAGTCCTGACAGGAAGTGTCTGTTCGTGAAGAGAGCTACTTGGTCCTGCAAGGTCCCAGGGGGCACATCATAGGAGCATCTGTGTAATCAGAATAGGGCTTCGGGATGCACTATAAACGCACCATACTAGAGAACACTATAAGTAATGCCCTAAACCCCAAATTCTAAACCCTAAGCCCTAAACTGATGGTTTTTGAATGTTTCTAGCATCAATACTGGCTCCAGTCCGGGCCCGTGGTTTTGACACTGTGCCTGCTAGCTGCTAAAACATGCTGCTGCAGGTACAAACGCTGTTAACTCGACATCATGATTGTTTGCTGCTAAGAGTACTGATGTGGAGTTTAGAGCTTACAAGGCAGTGTTGTCAAGGCTTCTTCAGACTAAATATGTGATGAATGTGGCTGGTGTGGTGCATGTGGCCTCGTTTCCTTCATAGCAGGACCCTAAACCCTAAACCCCTAAACCCTAAACCCCTGGGCATGCCTTTGCTCAGAGTCACTAGGGTTTGAAAAGAGCTTCAGATCCTGCTTGGGAGGATTCTAGCTGCAGCGACCTAAACCACAAACCCTAAACCCTAAGCCCTTCGGGGATCATCCGATAAAACTGGAACGATACAGAGAAGATTAGCATTGCCCCTGCGCAAGGATGAGACGCACAAATCGAGAAGTGTACTGAGTGCCAAACCCTAGGTCCCAAGCATTCAACCCTAAACCTTACGAAAGCCTGTGCCCAGGTTATGCAAGCGCTGAGCGCGACTGGTGTTTGCGGGTCTTGAATCGAATGACCCTGGGTTCTTGCTCAGAGTAAAATTGAAGCAACCATATTAAGAACACCTTATTGTTTATTATAGAGCCCTATTATGGCAGCCCGAGTTGAGGTTCCTCAACAACACAACCCAGGATTATGGCCGTGTGCTTCTCCTGCATCCTGAGCGCAGCCTCACACATCCTCTGCCTGCCTGCCATCTTCCTTGCTCCAGAGGCGGAGGGTTTTTGGGTTTCGGAGATCGTTGCCGTTTACCGTTTTATTTTGGGAATTTGGGATCTAGAGAATCTCAGAAGAAGGAGCAAACCGCTCGAAAGAGCATAGAGAGTTTCAGAAGAAGGAGCAAACCGCTCGAAAGAGACTAGAAAATTTCAGAAGAAGGAGCAAACCGCTCGAAAGAGACTAGAAAATTTCAGAAGAAGGAGCAAACCGCTCGACAGAGACTAGAGGATTTCAGAAGAAGGAGCAAACCACTCGAAAGAGACTAGAGAATTTCAGAAGAAGGAGCAAACCGCTCGAAAGAGACTAGAGAATTTCAAAAGAAGATGCAAGCCGCTCGAAAGAGACTAGAGAATTTCAGAAGAAGGAGCATACCGCTCGAAAGAGACTAGAGAATTTCAGAAGAAGGAGCAAGCCGCTCGAACGAGACTAGAGAATTTCAGAAGAAGGAGCAAATCGCTCGAAAGAGACTAGAGAATTTCTGCAAAAGGAGCAAACCGCTCGAAAGAAACTAATGAAATTCAGAAGAAGGAGCAAACCGCTCGAAGGAGACTAGAGAATTTCCGAAGAAGGAGCAAGCCACTCGACAGAGACTAGAGAGTTTCAGAAAAAGGAGCAAACCGCTCGAAAGAGACTAGAGAATTTCAGAAGGAGAAGCAAACCACTCGAAAGACACTAGAGAATTTCAGAAGAAGGAGCAAACCGCTCGAACGAGACTAGAGAATTTCAGAAGAAGGAGCAAACCGCTCGAAAGAGACTAGATAGATAATTTCAAAAGAAGGAGCAAACCACTCGAAAGAG